CCTCTTATTCTACCATTCCCTCTCATTAAAATCAGTAAGCATGTCCTCAGGTGAGGATTAAAAAAAACTTGACCCATGAATGACATGTTAGAATCAACAGATAAGGGCATTAAAACATATATAATTCCATTCTGTATGTTCAAATGATAAGTAGAGACATAGCAGACATAAAAAGACACAAAATGAACTTTTAGAGATGAAAAATTAAAACGAGACAAAAAATACTAATGGGATTAACAACAAATGACATGGTGAATAAAGAGATTGGTGAAGACACAGCATTAGATACTACCAAAGAGAAATAATGTGTAAAAAAAAGAAAAAGAGAAGAGCACAAGTAAACTGGAAGACAGTTTCAAGTTGCATAATAAAATAAGTACATTTAATGTCCCAGAAAAAAACAAGGGAAGAAAAAATATTTGAAGAAATAATGGCCCTCAAATTTCAAAATTTGAAAGAAATTATAAACACACAGATCCAAGAAGCTCAATGTGCAAAAAAATAAATAAAATTACATTAAGGAATATCAAACCAAATTGCACAAAACCCAAGAAAAAGAAAATTTTAAGGAAAATGGGGTAAAAAAGGCATGCTAACATATAGTGAAATAAAGACAAGGATAACAGGAGATTCCAAGATGGTGGCAGATTAAGTAGAAGCTACACTGACACTCTCCCAGGACCAAACTGGAATTACAACTAAAATATAGAAAAACATCCTGAATAATCATCTGAAGACTAGCTGGCAAGAACCCTCATAATCAAGGAGGTAAAGCACAGACCGTATAGAGACTGGTACAAAGTGTGGAAGCGTGAGAGGGCTGGCTGGAATCCCACAGGCAGCATCTGAAGGTCCAGAGGGATATCTCAGCTGTGGGGGGTTCCCACTGAGGACTCTGGGGCCTAAACCCCAAGATGAGATTCCCAGCCAAGAGCATCAGAACTAAGAAAGGTACCCAAAAAACACCTGGCTTTGAAAAGCAGCAGGGTTTCTGTCTGCCAGGGAGAGATAACCGGAAATGCAGGCACACTCTTAAAGGGCCAATGCACAAAATTTTGTGTGCAGCCACTCACCTTGGGCTCCAGCAGAGAGAGGGCAGAGTGAACTAGAACTGTGTGAGGAGAATCCAGGGGGGCTGGCTCTGGGTGGAAGAGCTCAGAGGGCAGCCATCTGGATTCCTGTGCTGAGTCATTCTCCCATACAGAAGAGGACATCTTTTTCAGGCAGACCTTTGTCAGCCAGAGTAAACAATGGTAAACAGATATGCACCAAATATAAGAGCACCTAAACAT